AGCTGCCTGTTGGTGTGTCTGCCAAACGCCCCCATAATGGGAGAGCACGCAGGGCGCAGGACCCCTCTCCACAATCCAGACAAATCCTTGGGGTCCGTCGCAGGTGGGCTTCTGGAAAGGGGGCTTCTGAAAAGGTGGGACCTGTTTCCCACCCATCGCGAGACTCCCCAAAGCCGGCCCAAACACCATGATGGGCCAGGCCTCACTCCCAGCTGTACAGCACCAGGGAGAGTGGCAGGATCTTGTGTCTGGGCTGAGACACAATTCACTGGGTAGCTTACACTTTTTTAAAGCAAAGAACAATTCCGGATGCTGCTGCTGTCAGGGTTCTAGCCCAGGGTCTGACCTCATAGGCCCGTGTTTATGATGTAGGGTCTCTGCTCAGCCCACCCGTGTTCTTAGCTGCGTACCTCAGAGAGGTGAAGGCAGCGGGTCAGGACATCACATTTTCTGATGGGGCAGCTGACGCACAGGACCTAGGAGGCACCCAGAGATAAAATGAGGACTGGGCAGAGGGCTCCCATGGCCCCTTCATGTGGTGGGCAGGGCTGGAGGAAGCATGTCCTGGGGCGGGGGGGGTTCCCCTGTGAAGAAAGGGAGCTGGGGGACTGCTGGAGAAAGCTGTGCAGTCACAGGGCGAGGGGGCAAGTGAGGAAAGGGCAGGGTCTGGTGGTTACTCTGGGTTATTTGAAGACCCCTCGCGCGGGACAGGGGGCTTCTGTGAGAGGGTGTGGTCCTGAGGGAAGGAGCCATGGTGTGGAAAATCAGGTCTCATTAAATGGGAGGACCAAGCAGTTCTCAAATCAGGAAAACGGGGCCAGTGGGGTGTAGCCATTCCAGAGAGCCTGGCAGAACCCTGGGGACCCGTCCTCTGCGTGGGGGCCTGGGCAGAACTACCCAGGAGGGTCCCTGCCTCCCTGCCCTCCCAAGCTGCTGCTGTTACAGGGTAGCCCGGAGTGGACTTGGGCTGTCTGTCTGTGGGGCCTCACCCACGACCTCAAAATGTAAGTTTCTGCAGGTATACACAGAAAGGGTAATGGGTTTATTTACAAAAAGGGGAAAGGAAAAGGAAACAACCCAGGGAAAGAGAGGGATACAAAGTAGCTGGACTACTTTACCTGCACTGCTAACTTGGAGCTCTAGTCCCAAACTAATGCTACTAGCCCCAGTCACACCGTCTGGTCTGAGAGCAGTTGCTCCAGAGCAAGAGAACTGTTACCTCTCCAGAGTGTCAGTTGGAAAACCACTCTCTATTTATCCCCCAAAGTCCCAGAATGCCGCTTAGCTCCGCCCTTGGGTCCTCGCAGTTCTCTCCTTGGTCCTGCTGGGAGTTGTAGTTTCCAGTCACTGGAGTAGGGGATGGAATCCACAGACCCTGCAGACTGCTTCCCCTTAACACTTCCTCCACCCCACACACCCACCAGGCTCTCAGCCAGCCCCAGCCTTTGACTTTTGGCAAATGGGGTTTATTTTCTAATCACAGTGAAAAGTTAAAAAGCAGGTGAAGCCTGAGGGAAAACCTGGTTCTCCCTGCAGAGGAGATGTCTACTTGGCTTTCTCTTCATAGATGCTGGAATCCTGCTCCTGCCCCTGGCCCCATCTTGTGTTTTTAAGGAAACCCATTTCCTTCAGCCAGTCGGATTAAGTCCTGTGTTCCTCTGACCATAACCCTGGATTTTCTAGAGTAGCTGACGTCTGCTTAACATCAGCAAGCCCATGTCTACCCCTCACTCTGCCCTCCCAGCCAGGACTTGCACAGGCCCCTATAGAGGGTAATTCTGGTCAAGTCCAGCCCCCAAACTTTGGACACCGCCGACTCTGAGACCGAGCTCGGTTTCCGTTTCCGCTGGCGGAGATGATAAAAAATAATTAAGAAATTAGTTTCAAGGTGTTTACACTTCTAATCTAGTCACATGTGCACATGTGTCAAAAATATTTATTTTCCGTATAGCAGGAGTAGTAAGCATCGTGACTCCACGGTGTTGCTTTTAAGACTGAAATCGGATAATAATATAAAGTTCCCAGGAGACATTGCAGCTCGTTGACTCTGCAGATAATTTCTCCTCTCCTCCACTGCCTTCCCCATGACACAGACGCCTCTGGAGAGGTGTTCCCCTGTGAGGCTGAGATGCGAGAGCTTTCTGGGCTCCTCACCTGTCTGGAGCTCTGCTCACCGGCTCTGCAGTCTCTCCAGCAAGCTGTGACATTTCTAAGGCTGTCACTTCGTACACAGTGCACAGTGTTATCCATCGATAATTTGGGGTCTGAACTTTTCAGGTTTTTTATGCTAAAATATTGCATTGCTGTGCACAGAGATCAGGCTCCCGGGCTCACCCACTTTTCAGGTGTTGTTGGTCCCCTGTGCCCAGGAAATGGCCATGGCCTATTAGATCCAGCTTGTCCTTTGCCAGGGGCGCATGCACGTTGTGTCTCGCCTTTAGGTCAGCCCGTGGGCAGAGCCAACCCTGACTCTCAGTTACTTAACCCAGGCCCCGCCTTTCCTCCTCCTGGATTGGAATTAACAAAACAAGGTGTAAGGAGACGTGGGCAGTAGGTGCCTGGCACGCGGGAGACAGGGAGCAGGTGTGGATGTCATCGTGGTGAGCAGCGTCACCTCCGCCATCATTGTCAGCACCATCATCGCCTCCATCGTCACCATCACCATTTTCATCACCTCCATCATCACCATCATACTTCATCACCATTTTTACTTGAATATGTCTGTCTTCGGAATCCACAAGGGACCGTGTCTCTGTTTTCCATCAGCGCCTCTGCCTCATCCAGGAGATTTTAGCAGTTCAAGTGTGGGATGGTTGAGCAGGTGTCCTCCTGCTAAGTCACCTTGTTCTCACCTCTCATTGCCCGGGAAGGCACAAGCTGAGCTTCATTCCCGCCACACTGGCAGAGCAGCTCCAAATACATCAGTGAGTTCCAGGAGCCGGGGCTGTCTCCCCCCCCCTTCCTGTGCAGAGCACAGGTGCTAGGACCCACCGCTTCCTGCCAGTCTACAAGGGAGGCTGGAGGCTGCCCACCCAAGTTGGAGCAGCAGCTGGCTGATTTCCACATTAAAAAAAAAAAAAAAACCCTATCACTATCTTATCTGTGGCATTTGCTTTTCATCCTTAAGGATAACACTTAGCCAAGTACTTACGCATAACAAATGCAATAAAAAACAATCAGCCAGAGGTGGTGGTTCCTCTAATGGAGAAAAAGCTGGTAGTCAGCTGGTGGGCCAAAAATCCACCGCAGGTATCACTTAAGGAAGAATGGGTTCCCCCCACTCACCTGCTTCTACAAGTTCATTTGGAAGCAGTTTGGAAGAAGAAGATATATGATCATCCTAGTGTGAGTGAGAGATGGAAAATTTTGATCCATTTAAATGCTCTAATTGTCCCGCAGGCCAATGCTTAGCTTTAAAAGAGCTTCATCACACCTGCCTGGCCTGGGTGTCCTGTTCATTCACATCCATTGCATTTACCCAAACACACCACAGGACGGCAGCACCACCCCCTCACCTGAAACTGCAGGGTCCTGTCAGAGTAAGTGACCCCATCAGCCCTGGGTTATCACTGGAGATTGGGAAAGGAGCACAAAGGAATTCACCCTGTAAGACTCTGAGTTTCTACAAAAGGAAATGATTGGGCTAATCAAGCTGCAAAATGGGGAGAGGGGGGAGGGTTGGTAGGATATTACAGGAAAAAAAAATTCTCCAAAGCTGAGAAAACAGATATTTGTTACACATGACAAGCTCTTAGTTTGTCCCACAACTTGCAGGTCAGCTACTCGGGAGATCAGACCTCTTTGTTCTGCACATAAGCAGCGACCACTAGGTTCGTCTGCAAGAAAGCTCGCCCACGCCATCCCCTTCAGTAGTCATGCCCACCTGGCGTCACAGCTCAGCGCCTCCCACCTCCTCCAGGGCGGGTCCTGAAGGCTAGAATTCTGGCGTCCACAGGCAATGCTGTTGCACTCCAGAACACGTTCAGAAGGGGATGCCAAGGCCAGAGTCTGAGTGTAAATCTCAGTAAGCCTCATGAATTCGAGGCTGAAAATCCAGACTTGGTGATTTTCGGGCTAAACCATAACCCCGGGGAAAATAAAAGAGGGGAGCTAAGCAAACCAACTTGGAGCAGTCAGCAAGAGGAAGGGCTGCTCTTATCCAACAGTTGGATTGTGAAGTCTGATTTTAACTTTGATGCAAAGTCTTTTTTGGCAGAAATAGTTGCTCATTTAACCCCTTTTCTCTGGTGAGCTGGGACCAGGACTCCGACTGCTCTCTGGTTACTTAGCACATGCAGTACCTGGTCTGGGGGAGTTGCTGGCTGCAGACCTCTCCTGCCAGCACTCAGTTAAGCTAGAGTTAGTTCAGGATGGTCAGAATGGACACACATTTCCCCTAATTCAGGTTAGCACTGCCCATCACTCTGAGGTCACTAACAATTTACTATAATAAACAATCTAAGATTTCTGCTCACAGTTCTTGCTTTTGACAGCTCCATTTTCAGGCAACTGTACAGATGATTTCCTTCTCTGATACTCTGTTAGCCATGGACACGCTGGCCCCACTTCTCTTGGTGCCTCTGGATGGATGCTCTACGCATCTCCCCCAGGCAGAACATCAGTTGCAAGAACAGGGTCTGTTTGGAACAGCAAGTGTCAGGCACCAGCGTCTCGTCCCGGTCCGGATCCTGAGTCGTGCTTGTTATATGCCGGACTCGTGGCTGTAGGTCTAGCCCAACACCGGCGGTGGGCGGCCCCTCCATCCTCAGGGACTAGAGGGCGCTCACTTGCTAGCGTTATATCACTTATTTCTTAAGACTGTATTCGAGGGGGCAAGTCCTGCTTTTTCTGTTGGCATCCTGGGGGTGGGGCGCTTAACAGACATTTCTTTGTGAAGGTATATTCCTCACTAAATCTCACCCAGCTGCCTCCGTGACTGTGACTAACACGCTGCTCTGTCATCTCGTTGTACACGTGTCTAATTTATCAGTTTCTTGTAGATTGTCAGCAGCCTGCTGCCTCCGTACCGACACAGTGCTCACAACTAGCGAGGAGGCCAGACAGCCCGACTGGCAGGTAAACCCTCGCCGGTGGTCCCGCGCCCGCGCTGCATGCATTCCCCTCGTCCTCCAGCTGCTTGCTCACTCCCTGCCACTGCACCCCACTTCCCTGCGGGCTCCCTTGGGCACCTGCGGAGACACCGGCCCACAGGCTCCCAGCTCTGGGCGACCTGGGGCTTCTGCTCCGTCAGGGCCTGGCTGCTCCCTTCCAAGTGCACCTGCCAGGTCAGGTGCTGGCTCCTTTGCATCCTCCTCACTCACTCTGCTCAGAATCTGTGTCTTGGGCCAGTGAACAGGCAGGGTGTGCGTTTCTCAAGTCTGCTCTGCACGTCGTTTGCTTCTTCTCTTTCCTGTCTGCTCTGTACCCTCTTTACACCTGAACTTGGAAGGCAGAGGAGACCCTGGCAACTGATGTCCACAAGGGTATTCGCAGTGGGGTGGTCCAGATGTGAGGGGGATGCAGCTCTGGGCAGGCACAGTCATGGACACTGAGCCAGAGGTTGTGCTGGTAGCGCCTGTTCCCGTGGTAGCTCTGTGGATCCACACCGGGGCTCCCTGGCCCTGGGGAGCAGGCTGCACCCTCACATCTCCCCCTTACCTGCCCTTGCTCCCAGCTTCTCCCCTCAAACCTAGTGCTCTCTGTTAGGGCAGCCTTCTGCTGAGTGAAGCTCCACGCATCTCCCTCCAGCTAGTGGCTGACAGGCTGTGGGGTCCTGGGATGGAGCCAGGGGTCCACAGGAGCACCCCTAAACATTTCCTGTGCTGGTGCTGCCCACTGTGGCATTAGTGGGAAAGGCACTTGAATTCTTGGACTACATCAGCCCCTCATGTGTCCACTTCCCCTGCCCCCCACCCCACTTCCGGAAAAGGGGTTTGTACTTCAGAAAAGCTCTGTTTATGAATGAACATTAACAGCGGGTCACTGAACAGCCACCATAATTACAAAGGCTTAAGCCTGTCCAAGGGGCCTCACTATGCTTACTGGTCAAGGCCTGGGACAGAAGCAGCACTGACAACCTAGAGAGATGATTCCGGGGTAAAAGGACTGGCTCAGAAGTCAGATGGCTATTTTTGAACCCCACTTCCACTCCCACAGGCGTGTGCTCTTGGGGAGTTGCTCCTGCTGCCTGGGCCCTCCCTCCCTCCCTTCCTAGGAACACTAGGGTGTCAGTAGGTTCTCGGGGAGGGAGCAGAGCTGGGCTATCCCTTCTTCACAAGGGCCTGTGACTCTCCCTTTTATGAGCGCCCCAGTCTGCCTGGCCAGGGAGTGGAGAGATGCGGGGACATCTCTGAAGCTTGACTTTATTTCACCTGGCTTAGTTTTGAGAACCAGCTGGGCTGGGTATTTCCCCACTGTGTGGGGGTGTGGAACTGAAGCCCTCCCAGCCTCCAGCATACCCACACACAGTCAGTGATTTGCTTTAGAGAAAAGTAGTTGAATCAGCTTTGAAAGTGTCTGGTTTCCAGTCTCCTAAGTGCAGCAGCGTCTACAGCAGCCACCTCCTTCATGTCCACAGAGAATTGAGAAAAGGCACTAGCCCTGCTCGGGGTTTGTTTCTTCATTGGCATTGTCTCCGTTTTGAGGGAGGGAGACCCTCGGTGTCTGTCTGCTGACTGTGTCCCTCAGCATTGCCCCCTCCAGCGCCACCCATGTTGTTGCAAATGGCAGGATTTCATATTTTTCTTCTTTTTCTTAAAGGCTAAGTATTAAGGAAATAATGTATTTTCTTCATGATAGCCCGCAACTTGCCTGTATAGTCACATACCCAGCGCAACTGTGCTCTAGGCAAATTCAAATCTTTACGGTGTAGTGTCCATTTGCACTCTGGGTAAGGAATCTGGAATAACCAAGACAATGGGAGGACAGGATGAGTGCTCCCGTGTTCAGGTCCTGGTGAGGCCCTCCAGACTGTTTGCCACAGCTGCTGTTGCGTCATATGCTGGGTCCACCAAAGAGAGCTGTGTTCCTTGATCTCGCACCTGTAGCAGAAAGAATCTGCCAGGAAGGCTGGGGAGGGTCTGACCTGGCTTTTCTCACCATTTGTCTGAGTGACGCAGGAGACTCCTGACATGACAGTAGGGGACGGTTCCCCTTGTTGAAGACTCACTCTTCAAGTCCTGCTAACGTTGTAAAACTAGGGAATAGTTAGCCTTGCAGATCAGTATTATACATAATCACAACTTTGTATTAAAATTCAGAGTTGGGCCCTCCCTGGTGGCACAATGGGTTAGGATGCAGCACCCACCGCAAGCTAGCCGCAGCGGCTTCAGTGCAAGTTCGATCCCCGGCCCCAGAGATGACCCACATGGCGTGGCAGACCTCTCAAATAAATAAGTCTTAAAAAATAATTTCAAGAGATGTAGAGCCTCCCTGGTGGCTCAAAGGATTAAGTCTCAGCACTGTGAAACTATTGGCAGCCAGTATAGCTGAGTTTGATCCCTGACCGGGGAACAGCCGACCTCTCCTGTTTTGCCCTCTGCTCCCCTCAGCAGTGAAATTCAGTAGATTCACCTGTTCTGCTCCCCACTCTGTCTCTGATGAATCCTCTCATCCCTATCCCCAGCTCTTATATGTTTAAAAAAAAAAATTCAAGAGATGTAAGAGGATAATTTCAGTACCAAAAAATCAAAATTACTTTTTCTAATGATAACTTTTAGTGACTTCAGTGATAATATCAGCTCTAAGAAGCTATGTTTATATTAATAAATCATACTAACAACAAAGCTTGAGTCCTTTCCTCCAACGTTCCTCCTGGCAAAAAGGAGTTGTGTGGTACTGATGCCATACTAGATGGGGAAGAAGAGTTTTAGGAAGATGCTGTTCTTTTTCCTCAGGGGTGACTTCCTCCATCTTAGTCCCATTTTTAAAAGGTCTGGGCCCAAATGTGTTTTGTGGTTTTCATTTGGGAAACTCAGTGAATTTGCTTCTTTATCAACCTGACTACTTTCCTACCTCCTAGCTGCCCTCAGAGAAGGTCACCAGGAATCCACATTAAATACTTAGCAAACCAAAAGTGCTTTGAATTCCTCCATGTATTACACCTGGCAGGCGAGGTTCTTACAAAGAGCTTCCTGGCAGGTCACTGTCCCCCATTAGGCTCTGCCAGTGATCCCCTCCCCACCCAATACCTGGGTCCAGCTCTTTAGAAGTGCAGCTTCTCAGCTCCCAACCCAGAATGATACAGAATGTTCTGCATTATCCCCACCCTCGTGACTGGGTTGTGCATTCTATAGTGGGGCCCACATGGCTACTTACCCAGAGCCCAGTGCATCTCCATGGGAACAGGACCCCTCAACCATTGCCAGAAGACCCTCCACTCTCCTTCCCATGTGTCTCACTGCAAGCTGCGCTAGTCGAGGCATGCTTGCGCCCGGGACCATTTCCTTGCGACTTTCCGTCTGTGTTTGGACAATTCCTGTTCATGTGCTGTGTCTGTTTGCCCCTGTCGGACCCTGGTCCTGTACGCTGCTCACTGCTTGTTTCTTCCTTGCAGTCCTGACCCAGAGGCCCCGGAGGGGGAGCCTCAGGACAGCCCCCCGTGCGCCCCGCTCCACTGTCTCTCCAAGCCGCCTCTCCCCTAGTGCCGCCTCCCCAGAACCACGTCAGGCGCACCCACAAGATACTGCCCAGGAGCTGCTGTTCCCTTCTCGGTCCTTCGATGCAGGGTTGGATCAGTGTCCATCATTTTGGAAGACGATAACTGAGAAGAGTGACACCAAGCACAGACTCTGGTGTGATCCAACCCTTTGTGGGTTTCTCTAAATCACAGACAGGCTTCTACCATCAAGTATGTACTGTCCAGCTAATGAACAGAGCAGGAAACCTATCTCAAGTGGCTGGGGTGGCATGGGAGAGGCTGAAGACCATGTAAAAACATATATCGTGAACTCACCCCTCCATGTGCTTCCAATTCGGCTGTAGAAGTCGATTCCAACACATCGTGTCTCAGATATTTATTTTGTACTCTGTTTGCCACATGACTGGTGTCGGTAGCAATCACCTCCAGAGAGAGGAACTCAATTCCTTTCTTTTTAGATAGCATCATTTGCTCAGTGGCATGAGCGTTTTCCTTTGGTCGGAAATCTGGGATCAGCCAGATTGTGGCCGTTTTTTCTTGCACAACATGATGGGCGAGGTGCTTTGGAATGTTCCAGTAACTGGGTCTTGCTGATACTCAGAGGTTGTTCATGCACTTACTTTCTAATCAGTGGCATATTAACTGCTGTGTTTTTGTTTTTTTTTTTTTTTAAACTAGAATTCTCCACTGGACATTACTAAGTAAATCTAAGAAAGGACTGTGTGATGATTGATTGACTTATTCAACTTTCGATGACATCTTTCATTTTTTTTTTAAACTGCAGACAAGCAGACGCTCTGGTGCTGTTGTGCATGTGTGGGTGTGGGTGCGAGAGAAGATTCGGGAAAGGTCTCAAGTCCAAGAGGAAGCTGTCTACATAGATTTCAGTCAGACTTTGTTAGTTGGTTCAACCAGAAAGCATTCAAGTGTGATTAAAGTATATGTTTTGTTGTTGTTAGATTTTTTTCATAATGAATCTTCCTTGCCAAAAAAAAAAAACAACAAACCACTCAAAACAGAACCAAGAGATAATAAACCTTAACTCATTGTCTACTTTTTAACAAACACTCAGGTGCCTATAATCGTTCTAGTCTACTGAGATGCTCCATGTTTCTCCTTTATTTACAGACCCTGCTGGGTAACTTTTATGACTTGATTTAGGCAGTGGGTTTTCATAGTAACGTTTCTTTTGCACATCATCTGACAAACAAGGAAAACAGCGAATCCAGCCAAAAGGTCTGACCCTCCTGGGCTCCCCACCAACCCAGGGGCCCCCACGTTGCTTCTTAGTCCTGCTTCCTTGTCTGGTCAGGTCGCCTTAACTGATTTAAAACCAGGATGCTCTGGTCTTTCCATGTACCTTCTCTTTCAAACAAGGACAGTCCTCACACAAAAGATGTTTAACAATCAGGGACTTGACAGGGCCCAGTGGGATCCCCCAGCTCACTGTGTGCTATGGTAGCAGGTACCTTGGCAGGCAGTTCATGGAGCACAGGGTGGGGCTTTCAGCCACCACACATGGTGGACAGCGGGCGCCATGACCAAAGCAGCAGAGAGGCTTCTGGTCTCTTAGGTGAGTGCTATTTACAGCCCTGTCATTCATTATGCAAGTTGGCATAGCTGGCATTCCCCACTCAAATAGGATTCGGGTGCAAGCACAGGAAGGCTCGCAGCAAACTTCACCCAGAAGGCTGCTCCTTCCCTCCCTGGTGCCTGGTTGCAGACACCCTGCCCTCCTGTGGTGGGTGCAGGTCCTCCCTGCCAGTGGGCTTGGGTAGGGTATTTGGGGGAAGCATCCCTGCCCACCTGCCCACTCTTTCTGCATTCCCCCCCCCCCAAGCTTAGGCATTTGGGAGGCATAGGTGCTTTGCTGACCTGACATGAAACTGTGCCTGAGGGACATTGATGCCTTTCTAAAAAGTACCTCGTATACCACCTTAGGCTGCCTGTGTCCCTGGGGTGTGGGGTCAGCAGGGTGAAGAAGCGCTCAAGCCCCCTCTGGGTTCACTGCCCACGGACAAGACCCCTGCCTCCCACAGTGTAACATCCATCTTTGTCTATTATAAATAGGTTTTACTTCTTTCTGTTCTTTCTGTTAAGAAGATGGGGGAAGGCTGGTTTTGAAATGTTTTATCCTACCAAAGGTCCATATGAAAAAAATTGGTGGCCAAGGAGATATAGAACTTGGATACAAAGTCCTCATTTTCAGCACAGAGTCAGGCAGCCACCCCTGAGCAGTAAGAGCTGGGGTGTCCACAATGGTGGTTCATGCAGGGTGGAGCGGAGTCATCCTCAAGTTATTGCCAATGATAAGTATGTGCAACACCAGTATCTTCTGTCCCCATGAGCAGCATAAAGGATTCAAAAAGACATGGGAAATGCAAAAAACTAGCAAAGATCAAAAAGAATGAACCTCGGTAAGACCAATTGAAAACACACCTGGGAAAGAAAAACCCACTGCAGGAACTCGAAGATGCTGCTTATTATCACAAAGATGTAAAGTGACTAGTGAGAGCACTTCACAAAGGAGCCAGGTCACTTTTTTTTTTTTTTAAGTAAGCACAATTGTTGTACTGATAAGAAATCCTGTTCTTATTGGAAAATAAAACCAAGAGATGCAATATAGCCTCTGGACTGGGGCACAGAGGGGCATAGGACCCTCAGCCCACCAGCTAGGGACTTCTCAGCTCCCACCCATTTCTGTCCAAGAATTGGAACTTGGAGAACTTTGAGAAAAATGAAAGTTATTAAATAATTGAGAACTCCATTTCAGAAGATTGTTAGTTTTAGGAAGAGGAGATGTGACTGATCTTCAAGAAAAGAAAGTAACAATCTATAGTAGCTGATCCAGATGTTACTGCTAAAACTAGAATAAGGGGACTAGAATAAGCTTTAAAAGCATGAAGGATTTATATTAACTCTAGAAAAGAGAGTACAGCTCAGAATTGATAACCACAAGGAATATTTTTAATTAAGTGTTGGTTTGTTTAGCAAATTAAGTGGCAGGATAGCTTGTGATAACATATCTTAATTCTGGGATTCAAAAAGCCTATGATCTTCTTACATTTCAAGTTACTTACACTGGTTAGTCAGAAAATATTTTCTCCCTTGAAAATAGGGTTGCAGCCTTCATTTTCCCATAGTATTTCATAAGAGCAAAATCAAACAAAATGATTGGTATCAGCTCCCTCCCAACTCTGTTCCAAGCTATCTTTAAAATTCTCCAAATTGCAGAAATTTAACAGTTGTCATATCCTAAAAAGCCAATGTCTATAGGAATACTCCAGAAATAGAAGCATACAATCCCTTCTTGGGAGGAATAAATGCCTCTCAAGTTTTAACTCTTCTTAAGAAGATCTTCCACTCACAATATTTGCTTTTCCAAGCTTTGGAGACTGTTTCTGGACAGAGATGGGCCTTCCGCTTCAAACAAGCATGGAGTATTGGGCAGGTGCCGGTGATGAGTGTGGCTATTTCTTGAGCTACCATGACAGATCTCATGTGGAAATGACAGAACATGAGAAAGAAAAAATGGAACCTGCTTTCTGCCAGGGAAACAAAGACATATCTATCATATGATGGTTACAATCCTTCAGCCGAAAGAGGTAACTGACTCTGGGGATGTGTGGGGCTGCGGGTCCTGGAGGCTTGTCTTGTAGGCCCCTCTGGGCATGTAGCCTAAGGTGCTGCAGCCATGGGATGCTGTGGTGGGGAGCAGGGCTGGACCAGAGAGGCCCTCTAAGCACACAGATCACAGATTTTAAAATGTTCCTCCAGTTCGTGTGTGTTTGCTAAAATCACACATTAAAGTGATTTTAAATAATCCTTCTATGGCAGATTGTAGAGTAAACTTTCCAAGAATATGTTTTCATACAGAGGAAACAGTTCATCCCAAAGCTGCTGACCTGGAGTGTGACATTCTGGCCGGTGGGATAGAGACTGTCTTTCACTTTATCAGCGATTTGGTGGGCATCAAGGACCTCATGCCCAGTCGCCCTTTCTATAATCTCCAGGTGAGCTGTGACCAGGGGAGCGCTGGTGAATGAAGGCTGAGAACATCTTTTTATCTTAACGCCGTTCTCATTCACAATCTGCTCTTTACAGTTCTCCAGTGAAAACACTGCAAAGGGAAGCAGGAGATTTCCAGGTTTTTCTCTTTCAGAAGTCATCTTGAAGCAGAGATCAGAAACTCTAAAAAGAGACATGTTCTCATGGAGTTGACAGATAGTCAATGGTGATGGAGACAAAATGAACCATTTTGTTATTTGTGTTTATAGGTAGGATTGGGCACTAAACCTTAGAGGAAATAGATTATTTTAACTTGATTGCAACCGAATATTTAATGGATTGGTTTGACTGTTAGAGTCCATTCAACAATTCTTTGAAAATTTCTGATGACTTTTTTTTTTAAGTAATCTCCATGTTTTCAATTGCATGATTCTGCATCGACAGTGAACCACACAGGATTGGGATACTGTGTTTCTCTGCAGTATTAACATATGTGTCATGTGCTAGCCTGGTTTGTATACTGTGTGATTATTGTTGCAATGACCTTGCTCTTCCCACATGGAATCGCCATCTTGTTACGCCTTTTGGGGTTCAATGATATAAACTGTTTCCACCTGATCATAATACCCTATATGACACCATGACCCAAAAAACTGACTTAAGAAAACTTTGTTGCTATTTTTTGAAATCTAAATTTCAAAGGACACTTGTTTTCAAAGACACATGCATTTATTTTACCTTCCAAAAATTCCTGAATGTATTATTGCTTGTCCTTTCACATTTTCTTATTGTAGACAATCTAAGGGTGTGGCTCCTGGGAGAGTCCCTATGGTATGTGCTTGTATTTGTGTGATCTGGTCCCTGTACTCCTCCATGTTTGCAAAACTCACCCCCGTACTACGAAAATAACCAGAAGCCACCACATCCACCCCCTGTACCTTGGTTTATGTTACAGCTGAATCTTAACCTTATGTCATGCATAACTCTTTGCAGTAAATAAACGGGTTATTTTTTGTTTATTTCATCGCTGCAACCTTTTTATCCCTTGGAGCAATGTGTACATATCTCATTTTATTTTGGTTTATAAAACATGAAGAAAGTATGCATTTTCCTATGCTGTATGTATCCAAAGGGAGCACTCAATTGATCCAATAGGTAGATGCTTCTTGTCTCTACACATTCCTTTTAAATAATGTATATTGGCTTTGTTTATTTTCTCTTTTGTCTCTCCAAATTGCATTCTCTTCCCAAAGAGTATTTTCAGCAGAAGGAGACACTTAGCTGAATTAGATTAGAAATGTTCCAACATGAAGAAAATGCCTGACCTTAAAAAAAAAAAAAGGCATCTCAATGAAAGAAACATTTAAAAAATGAAGAATGAAGTTTGATGCTGGAGGAGGGAGCACAATTCTTTGTTCTCTTTCCTAGGAAAGAATAGCAGAGTCACCAGAACTTTGACCAGCTGCTCGGGAGTTGTGGACTTTATTTCTATTTGATTTCAGAAGGCAGGGGAGAGAGAGGCTGACAGAACATGAGAGGGAGATTCTAGTGAGCTGAAACCTTGCTAGGGGTCTTCATTAGAACTCATCCAGCCAGTCCCACATGAACACTGTCATCGCCTGGCTGGAGCTGCCTGCCCGCCTGTTCTATAAACACAGCTCTAGGAAGAGTAGCCTGAGCTCGCCTCCTCTGAAAGCTGTTGTTTTTTTGAGGTTGGGTCTCTGAGTCTCCTTGATCTCTTATGCACTAAAGCTGATAGGTTATTACATTTAAAAGTTGGGCCCTGGCCCTCCCTGGTGGCGCAGCGGGTTAAAGCACAGCACTAAGAAGCTAAAGCCACTTCAGCATGAGTTCAATTCCCGCTAACCCTAGAGGTGACCCACATGGCGCGGCAGACCTCTCCTGACCCACCTGCTGTTCGCTCAGCAGTGTACTTCATCCATCTGCCTGTTCTGCTCCCCGCTTTGTGTGTGGTGAATCCTCTCACCATCCCTGCACCTCTGGCCTGTACCCCAGTTCCGTATGCATAAATAATTAAAAAAAAAAGTGGGGCCCAACTTCTCCAACCCCTGTGCTCTGCAGGGACGTGGGTGGCACTAGGCTGTGGGGAGGGCAATGTGCAGGGTGCCTGCAGCCCCCCAGGGGGTGAGAAAGAGGCCCGAAGAGAAGTGATGGGCACTTGTGGAAGAGATTTTCTGAGCTTTAGGATTATAGACACATTGATGTACATGACAGGAACTTGACACATTTTGAGTTGGAGCAGGAATCTTTAGAGGAATATTTGGTTCTTTGCCAGCTACCTTTTGTAGGCCACCTCAGGAGTTGGTCTGTGGAATGTGATGGGCCTGTTTTGCTAGCAGCCAGCACTCGGAATGAACTAGTTGGTGGACCCTGTCTGTGTTGCTCAGTCAGAAAACCTGATCTGTAAGGTTGTGTTGGATGGAAGGAAGCTTTCTATATACAGTGAAGTCACCTGGGAAAGCGGCTTTGTACACTGCTGTGAATCAGCTGTCACTCGACTGTTTTAAGAAGAAACTCAAGATAATTCATCCACCACATAACTGTCAAGGAAGAGAAATCTCACCGGGAAAAATATCAAAGTAAACATCATATGTAATATAAATTAAATATGGAAAACAATATAAAAACAAATAGAACTGAGGTGACCAGAGGGGAAGAGGCTGGAGTGGGGGTGGAGGGGGCTTTGTGGATGGTGGTGGACTGGAGTTTTTAAATTATTCTATGAAGAAAAAAGTGAATAAATGACAACTTTGGCGACAATGTGTTAAATAGTTTAAAAAAAAAAAAGGTCACAACTGTCTGCGTGGTCCACTGCTAAATGAAAATGTGGACCTCCCTGCTCAAAAGCAGTTAAGAAGCTTCCAGATCGTGACTGCAGCTGAGAGTGAAGCAGGGCCTGTGGGAGTAGAAGGCCTGCCAGTCCCTGAAGCCACCCTGTCCCAGAACCTGCCCGAGTCGTGGTCGGGACCTGAGCTGGCCATAGCTCTCAGAGCAGCTTGTTTGAGCAGAATTTCATGGTTTCTGTGTTTGGAAGAAAAACGAGCATGTTTAAGTTTTGGGGAAAGAATTTAATGGTATGACTTCAAAGCTGATTCTTGCAACCCTCACTGCTGTGGCCTCGTGGCCCACATTGGAACCCCTGAATTTTGAACTGGGTACCAGGCTGCACAGAGAGAGTAAAGATGGCTGAAAGGCATCGGTGAATATCAGTTGCAGACATTTTAATTAGTGTATATGAAAGTCAGACCCAAGAGCCCCACTGATAGGGATGTGCCTTGGCTTCCTCTGAAGTGATAAATGATTTATGTCAGCCAAATGTCACAGGAAGATGTGCCTCCCTTAAAGAGCTATTAACTCAAGATTAATAAGTGCTTCATGCCAGTTTCTTCCAAATCAAAGGGGAAATTATTTATTTCATTGAATGTCAGTGACAAGGTGGATTCTCAACAACTATTTGAAAATAGTAAGGTGCCCTTACATGTGAGAGAGGGATAAATACAATAATGTAGATCCATTTTTTTCTTGTTTTTGTAAAGTACCAGGGAGACCTTTAGCAGCAGTGGTCTGTAAAAGAGCAGAGGCTCTGTGGAAGGGGCCTGGAGCAGCTGGCCCTGGAGGTGAGTACCTTTTTTATCTTGTTTCCTATTTCAACCATAGACACTTGCCTTATTTAAGACCAAGCAAAGAAAAAGGACTTTGCAAATTTTCAATGAAAACATAAAAACTTACATATCTTCTAGAGAAATAATTGTTCCCAGTAAGCTATGTCAGCTGAAGTATTTTTTAAAACACGGGATTTTGTTCAAGTTTTTGTCCTGGTGCTTATGAGCTCCCATCACAAAGGTACTTAACCTCCAAGCCTCAAATGTTGCATGTTAAAACCAAGAAGCAAAAAATGTCCACCTGGCCAGGTTATTGCACATGTAACATCTTTCCGAGTGTCAGGCTATGTAGCTAATACAATTTCCAGTAGCACAGTGCCCAGTCCAGAGAAGCCCGTGCCCTCGGGCCCGCACCAGCTCGGCCCGCACCAGCTCAGCAAGTGTGTATCAGACAGAGAAGCTCCAGATACAGCAGAGAACAAAGCATTGAGGAGGGAGGACACAACACAGCCAGCAGGGAGCATGTAAATTCTAGGTCCTAGCAGGCAATGAAACTTCCAGGCAAGGAAAGGGAGAAGTAGAGCAGGGGCAGAGGCTGTCCTGGGTGGAGGGGAAGTGAGATGGGTGGTCAGGAGCAGCCTGAGCCAAAAGAAGAAATAAGATAAAAATCCTGCGTACATCATGGCAGCTTCCATTTTTGAACCCATCTTTATGTTCAGTAGATACAAGGAGGATAGCAGACAGCTGCACATTAAGCAACAGCATTTGCGAAAACAAAGTGATCTAGCATTGGGGTGAACAATACAAAATGTGCATCTATCTCATGGAGATGTTGCTTTCAAATCCCAATATTTAGCTTCCAGATATCATGCCTTCTTGAAGTTTCAGAAGGAAACTGCTTCTCCAATGAAAATTTGAGTCAATGCAGACATCTCCTATATTTCAATAAATCTGCCTTTTCTGTTCAGAAAAAGAAAACTGAGTGTCATAATCATTCAGTCGTATTGGTAACTGCTGATTCCAATGAACCTGGACTGGACCGGATACTCTGAACATAGCTCCTGTTATTGCTTTTCGGTGTGCGGCCGAGGCTAAGCTATTCTTTCCTCTAGGCTTTAATTCCAGTTTTACCTTTTATGGCTCTTTTACACAAATCTCCTAAAAATTAAGGGCACTTTTTAAAACATAGCCTTTAGAACAGCTTCTAGTCCAAAGGTTCTTAAGGTCAAGTGGCTAAGCTTCGCCTCCCAGCCCGAGAGTTCTACTCTTTCATAGACTCCTGGTGACTCTGGCTTCCAGAGTGGCTGTTTCCATAAAACAGACACAGCGATGTGTGCCTGACAGCCATCATCCTAGTTCTGGGCTATTTTCCTAGAAGATGGGGGTATGACCCTAAAAATATTTACCTAATGCAGAGAGAAACGCAACAAATCACATGGCAGGTAAAGGTACAGTCTTAATAAATAGTTGGGGATGATGAAAACAAGATCCAACTGATGAAAATCTTACCTCTTAAAAGCCTATTTACATAATAAAATTGTCTCCTGTGAAGAGTTCTTTAAAGATGGCTGGAATTAAGGCATCATTCTGCAATGTGATTGTAATGACACGCATTGCCAGTCCAAGGATTTCACAAAAGTGGGCCTTCTCTGGGAAAAGCCTTTTCTTTGGCCTGGATGGTGACAGAGTCCCACATCTAATGATTGATGTTAAAAACAAGATTTTCAGAAATGCTCCCCCCAAACAGTTGCGTATATTGTTTTTGTCGCTACACAGTTCTATGTATTTTTCAAGACACATTCCTTCTGTGTGAAGGATGTTTTTGTCCTCAGTACATTACCTTAGGACTTGGAAAGTGGGATGAGATCAGGGAACGGAATATGCCATGTTCCTTCTGTTGATGAATTGCAAACTGGAGTCTCATGAGTGGACGTGAAGGTGTCTGTCTGTCCTGTAGTCCTCTTGATGATGCCCTGCATGTGACCAGCTGTTTCATGTGGGATGCTCAGTCAATACTGCAATGTCCCTGCAGTCATGTGCTTGTGGTGATCTGTAGTGACCATTCAGTATAGCTATTGGTGGAATCTCAAACATTCCTTCAAGATTGGCCAAAGGAAGGGCCTCCCCAGTAGCGCAGGGGTTGAGTCTCAGTGCTATCAAGCACTACCAGCCACTGGGACTGAGTTGGATACCAGCCAGGTCTGACCTACTTGGCACTGTAAACCTCTTCTGTCTAGCCTGCTGCTCTCCTCAGCAGTGGATTTCAGTGGCTTCACCTGTGCTGCTCCCCACTCTGTGTCTGGGAAATCCTCTCACTCCTCAACCCACATCTCTGGCCTACATCCCAGTTCTTGTGTGCATAAATAAAAATAAATGTTAAAAAATCAATCAGAAG